TGCCAGACTTCTGCTCCCATGCCCTATTCACAGAGAGGAAATCACTAGTGTACCTGCAGGAAGAAGACCCTGCTTTCTGTATCTAGCATGGGCTACAAGAGTAAATTATTGATTCACGTATGGCCACACTGTAGTGGCATGTGCATCATTTGTTTAGGCCAAGCTGGCCCAAGTTAAGTGTGTAACGTAATCTAATTCTTGGAGTTCTTCTTTAAAGTAAATAAAACTCTAGATTAAGTCTGACATAAATGATTCATCTTATTGAATTCTCTGCTATCATGAAATGTGAAATCAGTTTGGCAAATTGCATGCTTGTTGCATGCATATTTAGGTTAGGTTCACACTAGCCTGCATAGTGAAATGCAGCTTTTTACCATGCACACTTAGGGTTGCCTCCAGCAGGAGCACTTTACTGCCTGCTTTTTCTTTTTTATTAAACTTTATGTGAAGTGTTATAGTGAGACATTATTCATGTCACCACACAGTAACACAGTGCATTGCACTGCTGTGCGGAGACATCCAGTTTGGTGCAGAATATTGCAGACATGAATGCATTTTTCCGCACTGCACATCGCAATAGTGTTATGCTGTGAATGGGGCAAATAGAAAACAAACATTTTCTGTGTGCTCTAGGGTTGACCTGTGTTTATCCAGCATGGAAAAAACTTAAGTCACTGCACATAATGTAAATGAGCACTAAATGTTAAAACTCAAACACATTTGGGATCTCTCCACAAGCGCCTCTTCTGTAAATGCGTCTCTGCTTAGTCAGATCTGTTGCTTAGCAACTATTGTGGGGTGATGTATAATATTATAATGTGACAGTATTCATATGTACAAACTGGGTAAACTCATATCAGTGATGAAAAAGGGGAACAGCTTATGATAGCAGGTAGTAGAGTATGAATTCTGAAATAATTATATATGGACATCTGACTGTTTCATTGAGGAATAGCACCACAGCAATTCTCTATGGAAGGGTAAGTACTGCGTGGAGAATTCCAGAGCAGGTACAACACAATCCAAACTAGGATATCCACTGCCACTACAACATCACAGAAAGATGCAAACCCCACACTTTTCCCCTCAACATACTGATTGGACAAAAAGGAAAAGAAAATTGTTTAGAGCTTTTTGCTTGCTATATTCCTAGATTGTAAGCTCTAATGAGCAGGTCCCTCTGTTTCCTCTTGTACCAAATTGTATTGTAACTGTAATGTGTGCCTTCATTTTGTAAAGCACTGCGCAAACTGTTGGCGCTATATAAATCCTGTATAATAAAAATATACTATTCCCTTGTGCCACTGGTTGCCCATGTGCTCTAATGCAGAACCTGACTGGCTATAGTGCTTACCTGCCCTGTTCCTGGGTGAGAACATAGTCTACCCAGCTTCTTCCTGATGAAGGACTGCAGAAGTTCAGTCGTCCCAACACACAGCTGTCAATCTTTGCTCTTCCTCTTTCTGTCTCCTAAACGTTCCTATGGCTCCTTTAATATGAAGATGGTCTCACTGATCAATAGGAATGCTTCTGTCAAAGAAGGGGCATGGACCAAATTTTACTTTTAAAGGAAGTATCCAAATGCAAATTAAATACCTATATATTTGGACCTGTTTGCCATTCTGATGTTTTCACTTTAGCATAATGGCAATGTTTCCTGGATCCTGGAGGTATATGGTCTACCTCTAAGTCCATCCAGGTCTGGAAAAAAAAACAGAAAGGGACTGAGTCTTTTTCCATTTTTTTAGACCACAACATGAGGAAATGGAGGTAGCCTGATGTTCTTTTACATCTGACAGCCATGGATCCAACAAGGGTCTGCCACAGTCCATTGTCAAAATGCAAAAAAATGTGTTGGGTGGATACTTTGTTCCCACTGTGTTGGGTGGTTACTTTGTTCCCTCTGTGTTGGGTGGTTACTTTGTTCCCTCTGTGTTGGGTGGATACTTTGTTCCTTATGTGTTGGGTGGACATTTTGTTCCCTCTGCATTGGGGATACTTTGTTCCCTATGTGTTGGGTGGACATTGTTTTTTTTTTTTTTACTAAAACAGGAGATTGCAAAATCTGGTGAAGCTCTGCATTGAAACCAATTAGCTTCCACGTTTTATTTTCAGAGCTTAACTGACAAAGCTGAAGTTAGAAGCTGCACAGGTGTACCAGATTCTGAGTGCACCAGTTTTAGTAAATTTCCACCTTTGTGCCTTCTGTGTTAAGTGGGTACTTTGCTCCCTTTAAGCTAACTTAAAGTGTTGAGTGGATATTTTGTGCCCTCTCTGTTGGGTGGACATGGACACTTTGTTCCCTCTGTGTTGGGAGGATACTTTGTTCCCTCTGTGTTGTGTGGACACTTTTTCCCCTCTGTGTTGTTGGATGGATGCTTTTTTCCCTCTGTGTTTGGTTGACACTTTGTTTCCTCTGCATTGTGTGGATACTTTGCTCTCTCTGTATTGGGTGGACACTTTATTTCCTCTGTGTTAGATGGACACTTTATTTCCTCTGTGTTGGGTGGATACTTTGTTCTTTATGTGTTGGTGGTGGATAATTTGTTCCCTCTGTGTTGGGTGGACACTTTGTTCTCTCTGTGTCAAGTGGATACTTTGCTCCTTCTAAATTGGGTGGATACTTTGTTCCCTCAGTATTCAATGGATACTTTGTTACATCTGTTTTGTGTGGATACTTTGTTCCCTCTATGTTCAATGGATACCTTGTTCTCTCTGTGTTCTGTGGATACTTTGTTCCCTCTGTGTTGTGTGGATATTTTGTGCCCCCTCTGTTGGGTGGACACTCTGTTCCCTCTGTGTTCAGTGGATACTTTGTTCAATCTGTTTTGGATGATTACTTTTTTCCCTCTGTGCTGGGTGGATACGTTGGATACTTTATGATTGTTCACTGACAGGCTGATTCCTCTTCCTCATCAATTTCAACAGAACACATAGTTTCCAGAATTATTCACATCAAATGTTTTCAGACTCTAACTGAAATGGAATAACCTGTTGGTGTGCATATTACCAGTAATTGTCTATATATTTATGTTTTATATAACAATAGCTAAAGAGACCACCTAACAAAACAAAGAAGAATGTGTCTTTTTGCCCTTTGGCTTAATACTGCTGTATAGAATAGAGTATAAAATATGAATATACAGCCGACAATGTTGAAACACATCTTAGGAGAAAACAGTCATAAAGCATGTTGAGTAAAGATGGTTAATTTTACCTCAGTAACCAGGAGATATATGAAATATTTAAAGAAGATGGTCTGGAGTTGTCACATTTCATTTGTGTTTGAGGGCTGTGTGAGCTGAGATGGAAGGAAAGCCTCCACTCTGGAGGTGGATTTCATCGGAATAATCACAGGAGAGGGTGCTAATAGCAGATGTAACGATGCAAGATTGTTTTGAATAAACATGAACCTTTCTTAAGAAAAGACTCTGAACATATGCCGTCAAAAAACTTAAAATGTTTTTTTTTACCTTTCCATAAAAGGAAATTGAATGTCTTTTCATTGTAAGAAATCTTGCCACACAATGACAAATATGTTATGTAGAACCTACTTACATGTACCTTTATTAGCAGAGGGTTGACGAAAACTGGTGCCCAAGGTGGGGATTGTTTTTTTCTTGGCTCTGTGGTTTTCTTGCCTTGATTGACTGAGAAGGTAGCTCCGGGTCTTCAGTAAATGGCCTCCATATGCCGCCTGCTTAAAATCATAGAAAAAACCTGCCTAAAAAGAATATCAGATGAAAAATACCACTTTTGGTGCGATCATCCGATAATCTGATCGTCAGTACACAGCTTTCAAGTGCTGATCATGACATTTCATGCACAAATATCTGAGGGGACATTGTTCCTTATGTCATGATGTTCACTCTCTATTACTACTTGTAGTGAACTGAGTGATTTGCTTTTGTAATTTGCCCTGGCATACTATCTGTGAATATGTGATGCCTCTTCTACTTACATTGTAACGAGGGATGTGTGGAATTTACATTTTGGGTATCTCAATGTATTACAGGTGGGGTGGGTGTGCAGGGGCGGTCTGACAACTCATGGGGCCCCCGGGCAATAGGGGATCATGGGGCCCCTGTGTCCTTGCCCAAACTCAAAAAAGCCTATGAAAAAGGTACCAGGGGCATCTCATGGGGCCCCCTACTGCCCGAGTTTCCAAATGGTCAGTCCATCCCTGGTGGGTGTACATCCTTGATTTCTGCTGGGATGTGGGGCATGCTGTACAGGCCACAGGTGTATTTGTTTTTTCTTTTTTTTCTTTTTATATCCTAACTGTATTTCCTTGTTGGTTTGACTTACAGTCACTGTGTTGTACTGTTAACTTGCAAAATCAATAAAAATTATTTTCCAAAAAAAAAGAACAAGCACGAAGAATTTTCTTGTGTGATAACAGAACAAATGATTTTCATTTAATCAGTACAGTATTTGTCTGTAAAAAATCAAGTGACCAAGACTGCGCATGCTTGGAAATGAAAGAATACATTACAATACATTATACCACTTCTGAAGTGGTATTCTGCTTTACGAGAATTTTTGTAACTTTAGTAACCAATTCATATTCGATTTGAGACTAGAATGCAAAAAAAAAATGGAGAATCATTCATCCGATATTCTCATCATGTGTATGAGGCTTTAGACTGGATTGTAGTTACACACTATGTTGCCCTAGGCATGTACAAGCTCCACTCAGTGGTGGATTATAAGTGCAGAATGAGTGACTGCTCAAGAACAAGACTAAAGGGGAGGCATGGCTCAATTTCAGCTCTGTAAGCCTTTAAGTGTTCAGCAAAGGCTTTCAGCATATTCCCTTCAGTAAAATTTATTTTAACCACCTCCCGCCTACCATCTAAGGAAATGATGGACGGGCGGTGGTTCTCTCGTTCTGGAAGGACAACATATGATGTCCTCCCACTCTAACCGTGCCGGTGTGCACCCGGGGGCGCGCAGCATGGCGATAGGTGATGCCCTGTGTCCCTGGGACACAGCGGATCACCGATCAGCGGAAAGAGCTGATGACTTCGGCTCTGTCATGTTATCAGCTTTGTCCAATCACAGGTGATCGCATGTTAGTAAGGAAATGTTGGTTATCGGCATTTCTCTCCTCATGAGCTGTCACGCTGACAGCCCATGAGGAGAGGAGAGCCGTCAATCGGCATTCCTTAGAGGGAACATCTACACTGATCATCAGGGAATGATGATCACTGCCCTGATGATCAGTGTAGCCTCACCAGTGCCACAATGCCACCTGGCAGTGCCCATCAGTGCACATAAATGCCACATATCAGTGCCTAACAGTGCACATCAATGCCACATATCAGTGCCCATCTGAGCTGCCTTTCAGTGCCAACTATCAGTGCCAGTCAGTGCCGCCTATCAATGCCAGTCAGTGCCACCTATCAGTGCCGCCTGTCAGTGCCACCTATCAGTGCCTGTCAGTGCCGCCTAACGGTTCCAGTCAGTGCCACCTAACAGTATCAGTCAGTGCTGCCTATCAGTGCCGCCTATCAGTGCCATATATGAGTACTGCCTTTCAGTGCCCATCAGTGATGTTTGTCAACGCCCACCAGTGATGCCTGTCAATGCCCATCAGTGCCACCTACCAGTGCCTCCTCATCAGTGCCCATCAGTGCACATCAGTTCAGCCTATCAGTGCCCATCACTGCAGCCTCATTAGCGCAGATCAGTGAAGGAGAAAAATTACTCATTTACAAAATTTTATAACATAAACTAAGAAAAAACATTTTTTTTCAAAACCCAGTGGTTATTAAATACCACTCAAAGAAAGAGCTAATTGTCTCAAAAAAAAAAAATTTCATATGGGTACAGTGTTGCATGACCGTGCAATTGTCATTCAAAGTGCGACAGAGCTGAAAGCTGAAAATTGGCCTGGGCAGGAAGGGGGTGAAAGTGCCTGATAGACAAGTGGTTAAAGTACTCAATCATACACTGTACCTAAAAGCAAAACATGCCTGTGTAGACTGACCTCAATACATGATTCCATTAAACTATTGGGGGTGCATGATATATCTACTGCTGGAATGCTGGAATGTGGGTTTGGGGAAAGCTTTGTGTACCTGGCTAATATTTAACTGCACAGATCAACAAACATTTTTTGAGATGTTTTAATGCTTTCTGAAAGTGGAACTTTAGCCTCTCTTTTGATTCTGCTAATTTGTCTCCTCCACCACTTTTAGCAAATTACAAAATAAAAAAAGTGTTTGGTGGGGGAACCTTTTTTTTAGTGCAGTGCAGCCAGCGCTTGCTTCTTTCTGGCTTAGGCCAGACCCAAAGCCTACACCAAAAGCCTCAAAATGCCTACATCATGGATTCCAGGAAGCTTTGGGATGGTGTATAATTCACTGCATGTGCATGTAAGCAGGTTGCTTATAGCCTAAATAGATGTTCTCCCAAATGGAAGGTTATAATCCCAGGTTTTCTTTGGTCTGACCCACTGATTCTGTACATACAAATAAGGAGAGGGGTCCAGGAGCCCAGAGCCCAGGGGAAGCAGCAGCAGCCATGGGATATTTGTGTCCCAATCCCAGAGTTCCCAACCTGTGAGCTGGATATCACAAGGGGAAGCAGCAGCAGCCATGGGATATTTGTGTCCCAATTCCAGAGCTGGATATCACAAGGTCGGTGACTTACTGTAGCCTTCCAGCATGTAGGGGGACTGCTAATGTGTCCTGAAGACACCATCTGTTGGATTCTGCCAAGCATGGACATGCCAAGAATGGACTCTACAGTATATATGCAGGTACACTGGGGCAGCACACAAGCCTGTGATAGGGACTAGGGATGTTGGGAAAGAACTGTATTATACCTTAGACTCTGTTATGTTTGGAATTTCTCGCTAAAGCCTTTAAATTTTGCCAACTGTCTGGTCCATAACGTGAGTCAGTTAGGGCACATTGGGGATATGAAGACACAAATGGTTACAGGGGTAATGGATGCAATCGGTCAGTCAAGCAGCCTGTCATTGAGCATGTACCTGTGACAGGTGGGACTTCCTCTTGTAGCAAAGGGAGTGTTGTCGGCATATCTCTCCTGGTGGTCCGTCTCCCAAAGCAGTGGGAGCAATTCAGCACTCAGAGGTTCCCGGCCTGTGCACTAAGTATGGCAGAAGAAGAGTTTAGTGAGTGCATGCATGAGGTCTGTGCTAGGTGCACAGCAGGGTTCCATTCTGCTACTGGGAGTGAGGTAGTGAAGATACGCTAAACAGTTGGAGAGGGTATAGGCTCAGCGTGTCCCTCCTAAATGCAATAAGTGAAGTAGTGGTGTACGTAAAAATTGGAAGAGTTTATTAGAGTTCAGTCATACTTCGAAGTAAAGTTACCCCATGTGTAAGGCAGTGACCCATTTCAGGTGCCTAGCATAGCCCAGAAGAACCCACCTGGGGTTGGATCTGTCATGTGTCCCACACTTGATGCCCAATGAGGTGGGGAACATTGAGAGAAAGTCAACCGCCTACTCTTACAACATGCACAGTGCAGCATCATCAGGAGACTAGCTGCTAAGTCCCAGGTAAGACAGCTGGGCTCTTGATGATATCACGTAGAAGATGGTGGTGCTGGATCTAGCAGTGAGGTAACATTTGCCTGATGGCCGCGGAACAGTGTTGGATTTGCTGGGTAGGTGGATATATTATTTCAGCTAGCATCAGCAGACCAGGTAGAAGTTAACATTCAATTAAAAATGAAACCCAGGGGAGTAAAGTTCATCTAGAACAATAGTGAGTCTTCTGACTCTTCTCGACATACCCTGAACACAATTGATCCTATGATTCTTGATCCTTGTTCAACTGCCTAATTTAGGAACAAATGTCCACAAGTGTCCAGAAAAAAAATAAGGGAAAAAATATTACTGTTTGTAAATGTTGAGGCTTGGTGTTATCCTCCTAACCCTGTGCTGTCTAGGCACCAGTCCATGAGTGCTCTTACGGTAAATTCAGTTCTGGCTGACTGTCTGGAAGACTTCAAAGAACACACTCTATGTATACTGCTGTTGTCAGGCAGGAAGTTTATTAGAAACTGAACACAGGGAGCAGTCCTTCACAAGAAATGACAGCTACTGGTGTTCCCACACTTCCCTGGAGACAAGTATCACACAAAGTGCAGTAAGGTGAGAGGGGTTATTTATACAGATCAGAGGAAAGGAACAGTGGGTGTAAAAAAGGAGACTGGAAAGAAAGGAGAAAGAAGAGAGGGGAGGGTACCAGGGGCGGACTGACCATTTGGAAACTCGGGCACTGCCCGAGGGCCCGGGGTCAGTAGGGGGCCCCATGAGATGCCCCTGGTACCTTTTTCATAGGCTTTTTTGAGTTTGGGCAAGGACACAGGGGCCCCATGAGTTGTCAGTCTGCCCCTGGAGGGTACACACAGAAAGAGACCTAAGGGCCGATTCACATCTGTATGTGCCTAAAACACTGCAAGATCCGTCAGATTCATTTAATGCTTTAACTAGCATTTCATGTTATTTTTTATTAAAAGGTACATTGAAGATTAGAGGTCTACCTTCTAAATGGGCAAGAAAAATTCCCCTTTCTAGACATTTGAACGCACAACTTTACCACAAAAAAAATCATAATTTTTTAACAGGCTACCACACATTTAAAGTGTAACTCCACTTTTGTTGGAAAAAAACACATTCTCCTCTGGGTGATTAATGTACATTGCGCTCATTTTTACAAACTTTGCTGAAGATTCCTGCCTGCTCTGAAGAAACATCTGTTTGTTTGACCATGTCATTTGGAGAGTGATTGTTAGACTGACACTGAGACTGAATGGGAAGGTCTTGCTCCCTACAATCTCCTGGTGTGCTCTCGGTTCTCTGATGAGAAAAGCTTCAGTGTCTACATCCCTTTAGAAATAATTAACCATTGGGGAGTATTTCACCAAGACTGAACGTCCTGCTGCAAGGAGTGCCTAAAATTTAACTTGAATCTTAGTGTGGAGTTCTGGGAAAAACAGTGAGCCAATTACTCAAGTAGGAAATTACATTTCAGGGGATGGTCTGTATACTAACAGTGTACAGAACATGTCCAGGCTGCCATTTTGCATTACATTTTTTTTTTATAAAATTACAGCAGCTGCAATTTGAAAAGGAAATATACTTTTTTAATAACATTAAATTAGAATAAGACCTGCTTAGCTATTGTATATGCTATATTATTTTTTTATTTGTTATATTTTTTCCACAAAAGGGAGTTTTCCTTATAGTAGATGTAACACACATATATTTTACTAAAGTACAATGGCAGTGATTTAATAAAACATTGTGACACTTTTCTGCCATTATGACCATATTAGAAAGTCCTGCGCACAGTTTTGTTGTAATTTTTAATGCATGCAAAAAAATCAGTTTCCTATGTGACAAATTAAATTTAAAAAAGGTGCCTTATTGGTGATAAGAAAAGTGAAGACAAGTAGGACCTTCTCCATGTTGCTATAAATATGTGTCACTCTTGAAATTATTGTGTTATAGACAAAATTTTCTCTGAGGCAACTGAACAGATTTATATACATCTTATTGACAGTTATATGAATCTGCTGCAAGTTGCATCATTTGATGCATGGATGGGAGAAAGATTTCTCATGTTTTTTATTATATAAACTGGGATTGTATCGTAAACTATGACTTTTTTTAATAGTTTTTACCTTTTTCATACTTTGTTACATGTCATTACTGCTGATCTTCTGCAACCTGTTTGCAACCAGGAACAAGAAGTGCCTAAGTAAGGTTCTTATGGTAGGATCACCAGCCAGGCATTAGTTCAATGAAAGCTCAGATTTTAAAAGGTTGATATTGTTTTTACTTTTCATCGCTTTTATTTACCAGACGTTTCAAATTGAAAGTACAACACAGAGCCTTGAGCAGGGGCAGACTGACAACTCATGGGGCCCCTGGGCAATAGAGGATCATGGGGCCCCCGTGTCCTCGCCCCCACACCCAAAAAAGCCTATAAAAAGGTACCAGGGGGCATTTCATGGGGTCCCCTACTGACCCCAGGCCCTCGGGCAGTGCCCGAGTGCTCAAATGGTCAGTCTGACCCTGGCCTTGAGGCATTCCCCAGCTCAAACATACAATTTAAAAAACTTATCATTGAAAACCAATACCCATGCTGAGGGCCACTCAGTAGTAAAAGATTTATTTTTAAATTATTTTACCATGGTAAAACGTACATGGAATTTTAGTGGTTGGCTTTACATATGCTTTAATTATTTTTTACATGTCCCTGTGATTACTAGTAGTAAAATTGAGGGTATTATATAGAAGACAATCGCATACATGTAACTGGGCCCTTAGACAGGAAGACTGCATCTAAAACCCTATGTCTGTGAAGGTTCTTATTTATCTAGGGTATGGCACAGCAAGTAGTGCTCAGCCACTTTCAACTTAACTTACTTAACATCCAAGCAGATTCTTCAGTTCTGAGCATTAGGAACA